CCTCCACTTCAGAGCCCAACCTGGCTTCCCAGCAGGTGGCTGTATCCCCGAGGAGGGCCCCTCTGCAGGCTGACGCACCCCTCGGTGCCATAGAGGCGGGTGAGAAAGCCCCTTCCCTCAGCAGAGCCAGAAGGCTCTAAAGCTCTCACGGGAGGGAGTCTGAGTGCGGGCCCCCGGCGAATCCCAAATACTCCTGCTGGCAAACGGGAGCCAAGCTGGGTTGCAGGCTGTGTCTCCTCCCTTCCTACCCTAGTCACTTCTCCCCTTTCCGCTCGTAAAGATTACATACTTTTCCATCTTGAAGGAAAAAAACTAATCTCAGAATTAAGTCCATCAAGTAGCCTTCCTCTCATATACAAAGATTCCTGGACTCAACACGGAAGAGAATCCCTTAAAACGGAAAACACAGGTGAGAGTCAGCTGCTTCTCTACTGTCTCCCTACGAAGGGACCATGTTCGGCTGATGGGCACCTTCCTGACCACCTCCAGAGACCGTCTCCAGACGCCACGTGTACAGTCCAAGGAAAGAAGCTTTACTTGGATGCTCCTTGATAATTATTTTGTAATTGTCAGTTTCAACTGCTACCTTAAGGTATTATCCTATAGGTATAGGAAAGGAAAAGGGAAGTAATAAATTAAAATTTCTGGAATACAGTTAACTGAAAAAAGGCAAAGGAATCAGTTCACTGTTCAAACTTGTCCCGTCATACCCTACCTGGCTTTCCTCCAGTCATAACCACACAGTAAGAGCCACTCTTCAGTCCAGAATTTTCACCTCTGTCCAAATCACCAGACCCACTGAAAAATAAAGTGCAAAAAGCACTGCATGCTCCCATCTGCAATGCTTGAAATCACACTTCTCCCTCAGTCACCTTCTCACTTAGTTCCTTCTTTAAACTGGAGAGGTATTTTTGAGGCTTGATCTGTGCAAGTTTTTTTTTTCTTCTTTTTGCAAACCCTCTTTACCCGTGAAGACCATATGGAAAACTGGCCATTAGTGATGTATTTTTCTCCCCGGGCTCCCAAGCCCAGTGGTGTCAAGGTGCTCCATCTGATTCTTAAATTAATTTTCATCAGTTGTAAAACTCTTCAAGTGCACACAAGAATGAGTCTGCCTTCTCGTGTAAATGTGTATGCACAGAAAGAAGGTTTTAAATATACATAGACATACACTCTTCAACTGGCACACAAAACGTCTGTTTTCCCAGTCATTTCAGGAAGCATGGGATTAATCACAGCTTGAAGGCCCTGGAGTCTTACAAATCTGTAAAACAAAATAGGACATAAAAAAAAGAACTTTAAAATATTGAAGAATAAAGGTTATAATACACCTTTTTGCATGAACATATGAACATCATATAATAACATCATAATCACTGTAACTGAAATCAGAGACCCATCTGGACACTTACATATATCAAATGGAGCAACTGACTGGTAAAATTTGAACAGTAAAAGGGTGCTGCTCGCCAACTTACAGGCAACATGCAACATGAGGCGTCTGAGCGCCAGGTACCATTTACTAAATTTGCCAGCAGCTGTGCATATGAATGAAATAACACCTAAGACTGTCCTTCCTAGGACTGTGAGCCCTGAAGGTACACCTTTACCATCCAGAGGTCATCATTCTGAGTTAAGCAGGCATCTTCAAAAAGGAGACAGGAGAGACTCAGGCAAGTTATCTGAACTGATGTTTTCACTTTCAGTAAAAAATAATCCCTGAAGACACAAGGCAGCAAAGGCCTTTAACTGCCGGCAGGTCACAGAGCAAGGCACAGCTGTCTTCTTGGCTTTTACATCGTCTACTAGCAATACAGTCCTAGAGAATCTACCTCCAGCAAACCCATCCCCTCTTCCTTCCTGCTGCCTTCAGTCCAGGCCCACATCACATCCGCAAAGACACTGGACAACTTGATCCCTAACTTCCCCACACCACCCCACCTTCCAGAGGACCCTCAGAGCGATCTTTCTAAAATTCAAGGCTGCCCCAAGAGCCTGGACTGTTCTCGCCCCGCCCAGGCAGTCTCCCCCCACCCCCAGCCCCTAGAGCTAGCTGAAATGGACAGCCCAGCCCCACCCCCTAATACCTGACACTGAGGGTCAAGGGCTGGGCCTCGGTATCTGCATTTCTAACAAGCTCCTGAGAGACGCTAACACTGCTGGTCTGAGACCAGCTTTGAGAACCACTGGCCTATGAGATCGAGTCCCAGCAAGACCCCTTAGGATGTGATTTCAACCTGTCCTCTTCTGCCACAGCCTCCACATCCAGCCTGTGCTGCAGCCGTCGCCCTCTGGCCACTCCCTGAACCATGTCCCCAAGTACCGAGTGCCCCCTCTCCTTCATGTCTCCACACCTGCTGCTCCTTTGCCCAGCCAGCCCACACCCCCTCTAACACCCGCCAAACACCCCCTCTCCCGTGAACCTTCCCAGAGACTCCGTACTAACCCGTGCAATAGTCTTCCTCTCGCTGCGTCTAGAGGCTGGGAACCTGCCCTTCTTGTCCCTGGCAAGGAGCTTAGCACAAACAAGTTACTCAGTAAAAGTCTGTAAGAGGACGCAGGTGGGGGCAAGGCAGCAGCTACAGGTAATTTCCTGAAGACACCCTAATGCAGATGAGTCACAGGACATATATGTCCTGTGTGCCTAAAATCAAAACAAATTCTCTCAGGAAGCACTTGCACCCAAGGGGAAAAAGAGAAAACAAATGCTATAAAATTCAAATTATGCCATGTCCTTCCTCCTGAAATTCTAATGTCACTGTATAATACTCCCTTAGTCCCTACCCTGGCCTGGGGACAGCACCACAGAGGGGAAAAGCAAAAGCAACTTCTCAAGACCCAGCAATATATACACAGGGTTCAAACTATTTAAGAGCATAATCCACGATTACTAAAGCAGCCACATTAAACACGACAATGTAAACCATCAGTTTCCTCACACCGCCCTGGAGGGAGAGGGGTCTATAATGTCAAAATTACTAAGACATTATTTGTCTTCTTCACTGCATTGACAATTTCTATCAACGGTGGGAAAGCAACAGTGGGTCAAACTGCCAGCCAGCTCTGTGACACAAATAAAGGCCCAGCACCAGCCAGCACCAGTGCTCATCAGATGTTTTAAAATGCCAGCTTCACTTAAGAATGTTCTTGGGACTTCACTGGTGGTCCAGCAGTTAAGACTCCGCGCTCCCAGAGTCTTAACACGGGGGCCCAGGTTCGATCCCTGGTCAGGGAACTAGATCCTACATGCCGCAACTAAAGATCCCGCACGCTGCAACTAAGACCCGGCACAGCCAAGTAAATAAATAAATGTTAAAAACAAAAAAAGTTCTTAATGCAGCAGTAAAAATTATTAATTTATTAAATCTCACCCCTTGAGGACATGGTTGTTTAATATTCTGTGTTTCAAACAGTAAATACACACACAGCACTTCTGCGGACTATGGCACTACAGTGGTAATCCTGAGAAAAAGCACTTGTGCTATAGCTTAAGTTATGGGCTGAGCAAACTGCTTTTTCATGAAATGCCATGTTTACTGGAAAGAATGAATGACAAATTATGGTCATTTAGGCTTGGGTCTTTGGCAGACATTTTTCTCTAATGTGAACAAAGTGAGCTGTCACTTTAAAGAAAACAACTGATGGTATTTGTTGCTGATAATAAAAGTAGAGCTTTCAAGTTAAAATTAGAATTGTGGGAAAACCAGCATCTATCACTATGAGCTTGATAACTCCCCAAGATTTAAAGACACTCTGAAAGCAACAGAAGGTGATATTAATAAATGTGAATTTCTGACAGTATATTTCATAGTGTGTCAATATTTGTAAGATTCGCATAATTTGCTGAAGCAATATTCTTCAAATGACCAGTGAATGATGATACCAATTATGCTTGACAGAGCCATTCAAGGTGCAAGAGAGACAAATGGATTTTAATATAACCAAGTACAAAAAAGTCACTGATATATTTAAAATTCTACATTGCTACTAACCTTTAAGAAACTACCATTTGATGGGCTTCCCTGGTGGCGCAGTGCTTGAGAGTCCGCCTGCCGTTGCAGGAGACGCGGGTTCGTGCCCCGTTTCGGGAAGATCCCACATGCCGCGGAGCAGCTGGGCCCGTGAGCCATGGCCGCTGGGCCTGCGCGTCCGGAGCCTGTGCTCCGCAAATGGGAGAGGCCACAACAGTGAGAGGCCCGCATAACGCAAGAAAAAAAAAAAAAAAAAAAAAAAAAAAGAAACTACCATTTGTTGAGTTTAGTAGAGTATCAAAGAAAAATATTCATGATGAGCTGAAAAGACTATTAAAATACTCTTCCCTTTTCCAGTTACGTATCTGTGTGAGGTCAGATTTTCTTCAGACATTTCAACAAAAACAGCATATTGTAACACTGAATGCAGAAGCATATATGGGAATTCAACTATCGTTTCAATAAGTCAGACATTAAAGATATTTTACCAAAATGTAAAATAATGCTACTCTTCTCAGTAATTTTTTTAGTCAGAAAATAGTCATTTTTCATAAAAAAATATATTATTTATAACATTTATAGGTTTATTGTTTTTAAATGAATTAGTAATTTTTTTTAATTTCTTAGTTTTAATTTCTAATATGGTAAATATCAAGAGCTAACACCCACATAATCAAAAGCTCTTTTCGGACTTCAATAATTTTTGAGAATACAAAGGGGCCCTAAAACCAGAAAGGTTACAAATCACTGACATATGCTAACTCTCCAGAATATAAGCCTTAAATAACTGTTGAAATGAAGTATGTAGAATAAATTTCCATAGTAAAAGCACAGACAAAAGTATTTC